AAGAAATTTCTTTACCAAAATTATTTAAAAAGGAAAAAAAAATTTTTTAAGTGGAAAGGAAAAGGGGGCAAGTTTTCTAGCGATCGAGTATATATCTAGATCTACTGTGTCTTATATTTCGTAAATCAGTTTGTTTTCCTGTTAAATTTACAGAGAACACCTGAATGATGTGATTAAGAGGGAGTTTCTCTAGAGACTTGATTAAGAACAACCAATCTATTCCGTCTTAAAATGACTTAAAATATGAAACAAGGATCATAACGAAGTATCTTTTATAAAGTACTTGTTGTTGCTTAGTTTTGTTCTGTCGGTAGTAAACAGTATAATAGTTACTAAAACATTTCTGGGTGGAGACAATTGTTTTGCTTGTTTTGCATGTTTTGCATGACTTCTTGTTTCAATAATAGACCTCTTTCTTTCATTTTTAAGTAGTGCCTGCGCATTTGTTGTTTGCTGCTTGTTACCATTTCGCCTAGGTGCACAGTCCTGTTCAGCAAGTTGAATTGGTCCATGTGCACGACTTTCTTTCTTGGCTTTATAGATTTTTCCTAAAAAAACAAAAACAAATACAAACCACTTAGCCTTTATGAATTGTTCTTTTGTCGCTTGTTATAATACATATACTTAGAGCTATTTTTTTTATTTTTATAATTTGGAACCGTTCTTTGACTTATTTCTTTATTTACTATTAATATATCAATTGATAATGGAAAATACATTATTCAAATTTAGTTCATGAATTTAAAATAATACTAGTATAGATCTATGTTGATATAAATATTTTATAAATCTGTTGAGTAATGAAAAACAGTCAAAGTATGGAATTATTAGTTTTAACGCAGTTTTGATATAAATTATTGCCTTTATTGTAAAAACATGACAAAATAATTTTACAAAATCTTGATCATTGATAGAAAAATTTATATCAAACTTTTTGAACATACATACAAATTATGCATTGTATTAGGGGGATGACCCAGCCCCCCTAATACTTATCACGGGGAATTAAACGTTTTTCTCTTAAGAGAGAGAGAGAGAGGGAAAAGATACTGTAGATAATAGTTATTTAGTTTATATTTATACACACACCTTCGATCAGAAGCTCAAACTTATTGGTATTGACGGTGATTGTGTCCACGTTTATTGCCACAAATGAGCTAATGATGCGATGACTGTGTTTTTCCAATTGTTTTATGAGGAACGTTGCATACATTGTTGGAATCATGATTGTTAAGACGGTGCTATACGTTGCTTGTATGTAATTAATAATGACTTCATGGAGAGGACAAAGCAGTAACCTAGATACTTCTATCCGAAATGTTTCAATTTCTGTTGGATCTGAAATCCCGTGACCTTTGATATGAAACTCGATCTGACTATAGCCGTTTACTGAAATAGAAGGGTTGATCAGATTTTGTTAAATTTTTGTCCACATAACAGAGGAAAAATAAGTCAGAAAATAGATCTAAATTATTTGATATCTTTAGTACTGGTAAAAATGTCAAATGCATTGAATGAAATTCAAAAATCGAAATTGTCCTACGAGTATGTTCAAAGTCATTGATCAAGTAATTCAAAGTTGTTATACCAGTTTCTTTCGATTTTTCAATAAAATGAAGAACTTTATCCTCCCCCAACACTTCCACATATTTATTCAATATTCCGACAAGATCTTCTCTTTCCAGAACACGAACGATTTGCTGGATATATAAGATGTTGTATTGACCAATAAACCTCCCCTTTTTTAGACAGTCAAACAACTTTCTTGGAGAGTCTACACCTTGAAGTTGTTGCACATCTGATATGAAAAAATGATCTAAAACATTGTTGCTTCATTTCTTTGATAATTTTGTATTTATTGTTTTTCCTTTTATTCAACAGAATCATGCAAACTTTTCTTTAAATGTGTGTTAATATGAACAATGAAAAACAATATGAACAATGAAAACACAAGACGTTTCAAACCGAAGACTTGTTTTATTGAGTTCATTAAAGGCTCATTATTACTCAGTAAAGCTCTTATTTTTTCAAAGGGTTTTTATTTTTGACGTCTTATCATAGTTTTAAAAAACTCTTTATAAGCCAATTATCCTTGTCATCTTTTGCTCCTGATGGCTTTTGGCAATCGATGCACTTAAAGTGATATAGTTTTTTTTGTTAATCAAAATACTATTATGTTTACATTGTTCTACCTTTATAACAAACAAATAATTTCAAATTCCGCTTTATTTACTTGAGGTGAGTGGTGGCATCTAACATACGCTAAAACCATTTTTTTGTAAACCTTACATTTTTCCTTTTTAAAGAATAAACAATGTATTCGTTTCTTAGGCAATATGTGCATTTAATGAAATATATTGTAAAATTGATGCACAACAACAACAACAACAACAAACAACAACAAAACAAAAACAAGCTTAAGAACAACCCAAAAAAAAACCCCACCCGCCAAATTAACAACAACAACAAAAAAGCAGTGACCCGGTATATGCGTGTCCTGTATGCTTAAATTGGTCATCACGACACACACCTGCTAAGTAAGATCGTTTCACTGTAGCACTCAAACCGTGTGTCCAATTGACACGGACACACTTTTTAAATATACAAAGCTGTGTCATTGACTTAAACCCCGTGACTTGCATTTTGCATTGTCAATAGACAATATGTGTCACTGGTGGGGACCACAATTCAAATTGGAAAATATATTAAATTGTATCGCAGCTAAAAGGCTATATCGTATTTAATACGATTACGAACACTTGAGTATTTAAAATATTATTATGTGAAATCAATGTAAGAATAATGACTTCATCGACTAAAATTACTTACGTTTAAATCGTTGTTTGAGATCAACCAGTTCCTCTCTTGTTATTGCCTTTGAGAGGTCGACGAGAAGATTATCGAGTACATAGTCTTCTGTAGGTGGCCTAAACCTAGTCGACAATGCATCAGATCTTGATGCCATTGCGAACCGTTATGTAATAGGAAACCTTGATAAGAAAATGGTAACTAAACCTCTTTTTATTTATTTTAAAAGCAAAACAAAATAAAGCACTTATAAAATCTAAACGAGTTGAATATTCTATTCATAAACAAGATTGCATTTGTGAAAAATGCTATGCCACCGCATTCATACAACACTGAATAGTAGTGTAGGAACAGAACAGATTTTTTTTTGTTTCTATACAATTGAACAACCTATTTAATTATCATTATCAGCTTAGTGGATATAATAACAAGTTCACCACAACCTATCAGTTAACAAAAGAGCACATGTCAATGTTTGTGATTAAATCTAATGATTTAAAGCTCTAAGCCTTGTACCTTCAGACAAGAATATCTTTTAAGTTTTTACTATAAGAACATGATGAAAATCAATGACCCCCAGTGGGACCAATTTTGACCCTAAAACTATAACTTGGACAATCTCCGTAAAGGTTCACTACGCAATGTTTCATGCCTAATATCTAAACCTCTAGCCATCCTCTTGTCAATTCAGAGAAATTTTTCAAGGTTTTTACTATGTACATACATGTAAAAGGATAACCTATCATCTCTTGGGCAGGGCAATTTTGACACTCGGGGCAAAATCTAAACAACTTTGGTAGAGACCCTTTAGATGATATTATATACCAAATATCATAGCTCTAAGACTTGAACCTTCAGACACGAAGAATTTTTTACTATAGGTGCATAGTAAAAATGAATGACCCATGGGGCGGGGCCAATTTTGACCCCAAAGCTACAATTTTAATAATCTTTGTAGAGGTTCACTACACAATGTTTCATGCAAAATATCTAACCTCTAGCCTTCTTCAATTAAGAGAAGATGATTATTTTTATGCTTTTACTATATACATAAGGAAAACCTATGACCCCCGAGCCGGGGCTAATTTTGTCAAAGCTAAGGCTTATACCTTCAGACAAGAAGAGATTTTAAATTTTTACTATATGCACATAGTGAAAATCAAGAAGATATTTTAAGTTCACTATAAAATATACATACATACATACATACATACATACATACATACATACATACATACATACATACATGCATGCATGCATGCATGCATACATCGCATGCATACATACATACATACATACATACATACATACATTAAAAACAGTGCTTATTTGCTGTATTAAATGGCACGTAGTAAGGTTCTTATATAACACGATTTCCCAATCTTTTTCAAATGATGTAATATAATGAAACACACTGTTTAAAGATAATGGTCTTTTTTATGTAAAAATCGACTTTTGAATATTAAGAATTTTATCTGTAATCATGAAAGAGAATAAATTGAAAAAACACACTTTTCGTTTAAAACATTTGACATTAACTTGTATTATTTTATGTTTTCAAAAGCCTTTATTGTACCGGAACCGAAATAAAATTTAACATACTCTTGTGAGAGACATGTTGCTTTACATTTATTCCATAAGATTGATTATGATATTGGTTATCTAATAATAATTATTTCGTAAAACTTAAAGGGTCGTACCACTTGTAGAAGCTATGATATGTTTCCTCACGTCACATACTCCAAAATGTTATATACTAATTTTATAACATAACCCTTGAAGTACTATATATAGAGTAACTATAAACATGCGCATTATCTCTTCAGCTATATATATATATATTGCTGATTTCATTTTGGACGTGGCCGACATTATTAATTTGCACTCCTTTATCAGTACATCCAACTTTCCGAATACGAAAAGTTAACAAAAATATTTGCTTTATACAGTGATAGAGTTAAAAGCGATTGAAGAAAGCTGAATTATAATTTATAATTATAATATGCGACAGGGTGCATTAATGGTAACATACATAGCGATTGACAAATAATTAAAAAAATCATTGTAGTAAATATATACATAACGATGTATTCATTTGAATATGACTTACTTATTTTTTTAAAAAGAACTTTTTAATACGAGATTTGAAATGTGTTCCGTTATTGAATCAGTAAAACCTTTAAACTAAAATAGGGAAAAACAGAATCCCTAAATACCGCAAAAAACGACAGAATTGAAATGTTTCGTACCATATTTGACGGAAATGGTACTGTATGCTGCCGTCCACGCCCCCTCAATATTGAGCAGAAATATCAGTATCACACTTTAATGGTGAGATTGTAATTTAGAAAACATCCGCAGATGTATTTATTAAAATAATTACTTGATACTGTAATGTCATCGGTTGTTATTACATTTTGTCGTCAGCACAAGAGTTTGAAACATAGGTAGGTACTAAAAGGTAAATTATATAAGGTACATTCTATATTCATATTGCAGAGCAAATTAAGTCTATTTTTATACTCTTTACGCATAAAGAAGACTTGTCTTTAAAAGCTTTGATTGTTACGTTTATAAAATATCAATAAGTGGCGAGGGTTCTCTTTTAAATCACAGACATAGTGTTACACCAAAGATGTAAAATCATGTTATTTATAAAGTCCACATTCAATCATACACTATGACTATTTAAACAAACACAAAATTTAAGTTTTGTCAATATGAATGATATAAAGTTGATATATTTACAACAACATGCTATTGGTCTTCAGTTTAAAAGATCTGTTCTTTTATACCAAAACCTTTTTTCAAAGTGACGTTACCTATTAAATAGCATGTTTATAAAGACAAATAAACATTTTGTCTTCTTCTAAGAATTTGATATTTTATTTAATAATTCACAATCGCTTGGATTTTCATTTGTTGAATAAACATTCCTTATCTAGATTGGATTTTTTTTTATCATGGTTCATATTGCACTTAACTTCCATATATAGACTATATTTACTGCTTACTTGATATTTCTATTATTTTGATGATAATTTAAAGTGATGTCATATTCCTTTTAACTACATAGTAATCTGTAGATTAAACCCTAAGACAAAACAAATCAAAACAATTTTTTTTCTTATTTCCAGACGACTTTGTCGCACATTCCGATTTAATGGCAGTAGGCACCTTCATATTAAGATATTGACTCATTCTTCATGATTCGTATGATACAGAATAAGATGGATTAATATATTTATAAAAATGAAACAGTAACCTAATATATATGTAACAAAACAACATACTCAAACATGCGGATACACACAGTATAGATGGAGCTCAGCCGGTATAGAAGGTGGCCATCGATCTTATAACACTTTAATAAGTGTAAGACAACAAAGTTAGTTTTTTAGGTTTGATTTTACTATATGCAAAGACACTGTCAAAAATGTAAAAAAATAAGGATATAAACTTTTTAAGCAACAGTAGATTATATAAGAAATATGTATAAAATATTTTATGCATTTGATCCAAATGTGTTCTTTATCTCAATTTTTTGACTTCGAGTTTTCATTACATGCTGCAAAGATTTTTTATTTGCTTTCCTGATAAGATAATGATAATTTTGAATGTCGTCAAGATTGTAATTGTCCATATGTATCCAATCCCTTGATCCTTCAAATCGATAGTGATTCTTTCCATCAACGAATCCATCTTTGATGATTGTGCCTGAAAATAACTTCTTACAATTGTTTTCTGTATCTATCTCCTAAAGAGGATCAATAGTACGTACTGTATCAGACTGCAGGTTGATGCAACATTTGTTCCCATAGCAGGTGGAATAACTTTGGAGAGTTTCAGTTTGGGCTTGACATAGAGTTTTAGTCTTGCCGCATTTACCAAACCTTTCAATGGCAATTGAGTCTTAATGTCTATCAATAGAAAAGTGAAATTTGGCCCGCATTGTTGAATGAGATATGGTTCTACGTGTTTTGGCATAAGTTTGGATTGAACTCCTTTTTTTTGAATTCATATTCTTCAGAAGAACCCAATCACCTAGTCTGGTTCCTTTGTTTCTGCACCGTGCCGTTTCTTTGACTTCTCCTAAGATATGTATTTTGAGATTATCTCTGGTATTTTGCCTAGCTACGCCTAGGTTCCTTTACATCTGATCAAAGAACGATACTCCATCTAATCCCATATGTATTTTGAATGAGAAAAGTATCGATGGACAGGTTCATTTCTGTTCCAAAAAGCAAGTAAAAAGGTGATAATTGTGTGGATTGTGTTGATGGTGACATACGTCCTCGTATTGCCATAATGACTGTTGTTAGAATGGAAGGCCAACTGTTTTGCTCATCATCAATGTATGCCCTTAGGATCTGTTCCAGTATGAAATTCAGCCGTGAATGTGTCTCTTGGTGATACGCGCTGGTGTGATGTCGTGTTATATCGCACACAGTGCACTCACCAACTAGGACATAAAATTACGTCCTCTATCTGAAACAAGAATCTTTGGAGCCCCATACAGAAATGACTTTATTAAACAAGTGTTTGGCAACTGAACTGGCTTCGATATTTTTGGTATTGCCTCACACCATTTACTGAAGAATGTATTGGAACCTCCCTTCAGATTTTGGACCGAGAATATCTATATACCATCTGTTCAAAATTTGATTGATTGACATGCTGGTAAGGGATATACTTTTTGAGTGTTTGTCAACTTTAATCCTCTGACAAACATCACATACACGATCATGATTTAGCATATCCTGATAATTATTGGGCCAGAAGAACTTATATTTTTAAAAGCTGCAAAGGTTGCTGTCCTAGATGCTAACCTTAAGCAATGCAATCATGATATTTAGCCAGAATATCTTTACGAAATTGTTTTTGCACAGTTATCTAGTAAATTGTCCGTTGTCCTTCGCCTCGTGACTCATTGTTGTGATATAACACCCCGTCCAGTAGCATATGATGGTTAGATTCTCTAACAACTTTGTAAGCCAATTTAGTATCCTCTTGATGTTCTCCATTCTCTAGATATCTTATATGAATTTAACTTCTTCACATTCTTGTTGATAAATACGTATTTCAGGTTTTTCCAAAACGGGTTTGATCGGTTTCCTTTTTCATCATTTTATTTGTTTTCCACTCCATTTTTCTAATTTCAGAATCATCTTTCTGTTTTTATTTCTGTTGTTATTTTGTTTCTGAGTCTTTTTCAGAATTATTTGAACTTGGATTATTATCTTCATTAGTTTGTCTATTCAACCATCTTCATTTTTAGATAAATGGATTATTGCTATAGCTGGATTTAAATTACAGTTAAAAAAATTCAATTCCTTCTGATTCTTCACAACCCTCCTCTATATTTGTGAAAGAAAGAGACCCATCCGCCATATTATTCATTTGAGCTTCAGGTTCGTATTGTTTTACTTTACAAGTGAAACTAGCAATTGAGTATTATTAACATTTGCCATGGCCTTGTTGGGTTTTCTTTAAGGATTCGGAATGTTCAGAAACAGACACTTGGCTCATCAGAATATAAACGACGAGATAAGGCATCTGCATTCTGATTTGCAGATACTTTCCTATACACGATCTCAAAGTAATATGCCTCCATTTCCGTCAACCATCTTCCAAGCCTACTTGAGGTATCTTTGACTTTGTGCAGCCATATTAACGACTTGTGGTCTGTGTATATTTTAAGTTGCCTTTGTATTAAATAGTGTTCATATGTCCGAATACCTTCCAAAACAGCTAGACATTCTTTATCGAAAACACTCCGTTTCCTTTCATCCGTATGCAAACTGACATGTTTCGGATTTTAAAGTGAGATTAGCTGTCCGGAGTTTTTGGAAAACGAGATCTTAATGCATTAAATGTTGATTAAAACTTTGACTGAATACCAGAATATCATCGATAAAGAATAAGGCCTGCTTCCCATTCATAGCCCCTAGAACCTTTGTCATAAGCATTTGGAATCCCATTGGCGCGTTCTTCAAACCAAATGGAATTCTGTTGAATTCGTAGATACCTGAAGGGGTTATAAATGCAGCTTTATGGCGTGTTGTGGGGTCCATTGTCACTTGCCAAAATCCTACGAAAGACCGGTGGTGACATTTCACGTTAACGAATTCATAATTTCATGATTTTAATATTTCATTATTTTTATAGTGAAATATTGAATTTTCAAATCGTGAATTCATGAATTCGCGATTTCATAATTTCATGATTTCTCTTGAAAACCTGAATAAATGAAATAATGAAATCGTGAAATCATGAAATCGTGAATTCATGAAATCACGTATTCACAATTTCATTTTTTTAAGTGAAATCGTGAAATTGTGAATTCATGAATTCGCGACTTCATTATTTTACGATTTCTCTTAAAAACCTTAATAAATGAAATAATGAAATCGTGAAATCATGAAATCGTGAATTCATGAATTTACGTATTCACAATTTCATATTTTTAAGTGAAATCGTGAAATCGTGAATTCATGAATTCGCGATTTCATTATTTCACGATTTCACTTTCAAAAATGAAATCGTGAATTCGTGAATTCACGATTTCATTATTTCATTTATTCTGGTTTTAAGAGAAATCGTGAAATTATGAAATCGCGAATTCATGAATTCACGATTTCATTATTTAAAATGAAATCGTGAAATAATGAAATCGCGAATTCATGAATTCACGATTTCACAATTTCAATAATTCTATCTGTGACGTCAGAAATGACATGCGCTTTTGAATGGAAAAGCTCATTTGAATCTGTGCATATTTAAGGATATCATCATGGCACGTGTT